GCGCTCGAGGCGCGCGTCAACGGTGACGAAACGCCCCAAAACGCCCCAAAATAGCCCAAAAAGACCCAAAAACCCGGGAATTTGGGTCATTTTGGGGTGGGAGTTGAGGTTCTGGGCAGTTTCCTGGGGTTTTTTTTGGGAGTTCCGTCAGATTCTGGGGAGTTCTTGAAGGTTTTTGAAGGTTCCTCAAAGTTCTTCTGGAGTTCCTCAAGGGTTTTTTTGGGGGTTTTGCCTTTTTTTGGGGTTTTTTTGACTTTTTTTGGAGTTCCTCAAAGGTTTTTTTGGGGTTTTTTGACTTTTTTTGGAGTTCCTCAAGGGTTTTTTTTTGGTTTTTTGACTTTTTTTGGGAGTTCCTCAAAGGTTTTTTGGGTTTTTTTTACTTTTTTTGGGGGTTCCTCAAGGGTTTTTTTGGGTTTTTTGACTTTTTTTGGAGTTCCTCAAAGGTTTTTTGGGGTTTTTTGACTTTTTTTGGGGTTCCTCAAAGGTTTTTTGGGGTTTTTTGACTTTTTTGGAGTTCCTCAAAGGTTTTTTGGGGTTTTTTGACTTTTTTTGGAGTTCCTCAAGGGTTTTTTTGGGTTTTTTCACTTTTTTTGGAGTTCCTCAAAGGTTTTTTGGGTTTTTTGACTTTTTTTGGAGTTCCTCAAAGGTTTTTTGGGGTTCTTCAACATTTTTTGGGAGTTCTTCAAGAGTTTTTTGAGTTCCTCCAGGTTTTTTAGGGTTTTTTCAACATTTTTGGGGTTTCTTCAACATTTTTGGGAGTTCCTCAAGGTTTTTTGCCGTTCCTTCAGGGTTTCCCATGGATTTTGGGGTGGCTTTCTTGGATTTTTTGGTGATTTTCATGGATTTTGGCATTCCCACAGATTTTGGGTTGATTTCCCTGGATTTTGGGATGGTTTTGCTGCATTTTTGGGTGATTTTCCTGGATTTCGGGGCCGTTTTTGTTGATTTTTTGGTGATTTTCCTGGATTTTGGGGCAATTTTCATTGATTTTTTTGCCGATTTTTCA